GGGGGGGGGGGGGAAGGAACAAAGAGACAATGCACTATCCTGAGAGGGAGAGCAAAACAGAGCTTCCGTAAGAAATACTGATGGGGACCTTGCCTTATTTTATCAGGACAGCAAACTCATGACAAAGCTCTTAGGCCGGCTTGCCTATCCACCTACCTTAGAATTAAAAATCAGAGGTGAGAAGGCTGCACAGGCACACCATAGTGCACTTATAGACAGAGTAAGTCTGATATGACTGTTTTCCTACTGAAGACTGACTGACAGGTTCTGTTATGGACATTTACATAAAGTAAATGAACTAGATCAGTAGTTCCAAGGTTTTCAGAAATATGTAATAAACTTACATATAAGGAAATCTATCTTTTGCAGGTACGTAAAGCTTCCGGTAAAATTTTTAGATGTCAGTTTAAAAACACGCAATGGGGTATATGGTTTTACCAGTTCTTTTGGTGGTACAGGAGTTAAAGTGTTTGAAAACCACTTTTGTTGATCAGTTAATTCTAACTGGTCTCCTTATTCTGACTTCGCTTTTGAATTTCCTGCACTGTTAACATACATTTATAAATTGACCTGCTTTTCAAAGATATAGGTATCCTAGGCAAATAAATTATGTAACAGTCCACACAATCTTGGATTGTCACAGTGCACGTTAACAAGGCTCTTAAGAAAGTTCAGTAAAGAAACCTGTTTAACCCATCTTTGCTCTAATGTGATTGGAGTACCTTTCTTTAATAACACTATTCAGTGCCATGGACTTCACTAGGAAGTTCTGACTGTGGTGTACCTAGCACTCTAACTGAGGAATATAATTTTTTTCCTAACTTCTCAAGCAGCGTGTCTCCCATATTTGTAAATATCCCTTTTTATATAGCCTTTCTGAGGAAAGTAGAACATGTAAATTTTTTTTCCATAGATGAACATATTGAGAAATGTGGATAAGAAGGAGCACATAGGAGAACTTAGCTCTTCAATTAAAGTAGTTACATTGAAAAGCCTAATTTTAATTCACACAGTTAGGACTTACTTTTGATTAAGCAGTTTTCATCTCAAATATCTCTATTTATCTATTTATATCTCAAATATTTATATTAAGAACATTTAATTACACTCCCCCCAAAAGGCAGTTTCTTGCATGAAAATTTCTCATGTTGAAAAAATTTCTCATTATTTTTTTATATTAATAGAAAATGGTGGCTGTTCACCCAGCAGAAGTGGTCAATATACTCAACTGTTTCACCTTCAGTAAAGACAAACTAGTTGCTCTTGAACTGTTAGCTTCGTAAGTATTTCTTTCTTTTTACTTCATTGGAAAAAAATTTGGAAGACTTCTTAAATGCTTTTTAACTCATTAGTGTATGTTAATGTATCAGAATTATGTTAGTAAATGGAACTCTAATAAAGCTATGCAAGCATAGAGCTGAATTCTTATATCTAAGTATCTAGCGTGCTTATTACACATGGTTATAACTTATAAAATAGTGGGGCTTATCGAGTTTAATTATTTCAGTTTGTCTGCATTTTGGTGACTTGCTTTGCATTCCCACTCTGAATAACGTGAAAGGCTTGGTGATAAAGCCAGAGGACTTATAGTTAGATGGGTTCTTCCACGTTCTGACAACATGTATTTTTTTGACTTAATATATACTTACTCTTTCTGGATCTTATTTTCCTCAGTTGTGAAAATAAGGATCTCATCTACTTAGTAGGGATGTGAACTTTACATACTGTAAGATGTGTGAAAGCACCCAGCACGACATTTGAGAAAAGATTGTGATGAATGTAAGAGAAAAGGAACCTACTCTCCTATAATGTAAGAGTCTAGAAGTTGCTGTTTATTTACAGCATATGCATTTTTAAGTCCCTTATATATTTGTAAATGACCACAAAAAGCACAAAATTAAAATGAAGCATAAGGTTAAACTTCATTTTTAGATCAACCGTGATTTTTAGGCATTTAGCACATGGGTTTGTTCTATTGCCAGTAGCTCTCCTGACACTCATTGAGAGGTTATATTTGCAAGAATCTCAAAATAGTGATTTTTATTTGAAGTATTGCTTTGTTACTTTCAGGTAGCCAGATAAATGTCAGTTCAGTTATTATATTTACCATCGTCATATAAACGTGTTATTTACATTCACCAATTGAAACTAAATAATCATACTTTCCTCATTATGTCATGGGGAAAAGCTTACTCAGATATATCTGTGTGTTAAATATGTGTGTCCAGCTTCTTAAATGAAAAGCAAAATTGTATTTGCTTGGTAGAAACATTGTTGATGCACAGAATTCTCGTCCCATTGAAGATCTGTTCAGGATAAATATGTCTGAGAAGAAACGGTGCAAGAGAGTGCTTGAACAGGTAATTTCCTCAAGATTGCTATATAAATGGTATGTTGGTTTTTCTGAATGCTGATGAAGAAAACAGTACAGTCTTATTCTTATGTTAACTTTGTTGAATAACCTGACTGCTGTTATGTGATGGGTTAAGAATGACACCCCAGCAGTCTGGGGCTGGGATGTAAATATTTATCCTGCTCAGAGGCCAAGCTTCCATCCAGGTTTTAGTAAAGAACTGGTGTGAGGTTGGTGCAGTCCCTGTAGGGCAAAGCCAGGAAGGACACGGAAATGGCTCAGTCCTCACGAGCACACGGCGGATGGGGGCTGGGGGGGGGGCGGGGGGGGACACTGGTGAATGAAGAGACGGCTTGAGAGTGAGAAGCCAGCCCTCAGCGTGAGCCTCATGGGGTGTTTATTCTCAGTCCCTTGGTAGCTCTGCCATGGCTCCAAGCTTTTGTCTTTCATTTTATGTATTTAGGAACTTGACTGTTTAAATTTGCTTTGTCATCGGGCTTATTTTCATCACATTCATAAAAGATGAGTAATAAAGCAAGATGGCAGTTTTTTCATTTAAACTCTGTAAGAGTGGGGGAAGTAGTACTTGTCCCAACCTAGAAAACTTGATTCGTCGTTTAAGGTGGTTATTCCTTAGGATTGTGACGGCTGGAAACTGAATTCGTGATTAGGAACCTGCCTGAGGAAGGCGTGGACTGCTCCCCTAGGAGCTGCAGCTCAACCGTATTTAACCCTCACGCCCTGCACCAAGCGCAGGAGAGTGCAGAACTTGCCTTAGTCATAAGTTATTGTAGCAGAAGCAAGATCTGAGCCCACGTTTCTTTACTTTAATAACGTCATCGAGGTTTTTGACTCAATTCTTTAAGGCATTAAGCATTTACTACTGTAGTTTTCTTCCTTATGAAGCATTCTGATCATGTGACTTTCCCATCTCAGAAATAATCTGGGCCAGAGTCTTCTGTGGAATACGTCCTTTAATCAATGTAAATTAGTACAACTTTTCTGAAAGGCAAACTTGCAGAGCCTTTAAAGCGTTCATACCTTTTGACCCCAAAATTCTATTTCTAGGAATTTATACTAAGGAAATAAATAGAAACATACACATTCATATATAAGGGCACTCACCCTGGTACTATTTATAATAGCCCAAAACTGAGATGATTTTTAGGGTTGGCATGTTTAGTACAGGGCTGGATTATATAGCTAATAATGTCATATATACCTATAAAATACAGCACATATATATTTAACTTGATATTCTTATACAGTATAGATCCATTAGAATATATGTCACCTATTACAGTGCTTTTCGTTCCTTTAATAAATATTTATTGAGCACTAATTCAGTATGTGTTAGGCACCATTTCAGAAGCTGGGGACACAATAATAAATAAGCTAGACCAAGATCTCATCCTTCAGTATATGTCATAATTATGTAACGTTATGTTGAACACTGGTACCCAGAGAACTCTTACTTTTTCAACAGTAGGGCTCTTTGGACACCCAATGTCCCATGTTGTTGTTTGTGTTTTATCCACTAAGTTATGTAAACTTCTTCAGAGTGGAGACCGTGTCTCTTTCATGGCTGTGCTCGCTTTGCCTTACCTGTAATGTGAGCTTGGTGTTTATTGAGTTGGACAGTGTTATTTCTTGGTCGTTGGAGAAATGAGACATATCAAATAGTAAATGGACTTCTTTGCACACAATTTACAAAGTCCATTGTGAAGGTATCTTTGTATAGGAGTCTATTATCTGTGACATTAAAAACATTATTACCATTTAAATAATTCCATTAAGTGAAGTGATTTTACTTATTAAGTTTGGTCATGTTCACCAGTGGAAGTGCTGATTGATGTATGAACAGATTGAATGTGATGCTGTTCCTTAATTCATGTTATTTAGCAGGGCTTCCCAACATCCAGAATACTTAATTTGTGAGTTTATTGGATTTTTTTTTTTTTAACCACCCTCTTCTTTGTTATTTTACAGGCTTTCAAGGCGGGCTGCAAAGCTCCTCATGCTATGATATCTTCTTGTGGAACAATCCCAGGAAATCCATATCCCAAAGGAAAACCTAGTCGCATAAATGGAATTTTCCCAGTAAGTATATACTTCTGTGGCTATATATGAAACTTCTTCATGTGAAATTGAGCGTAGTTAATGGTATTTAAAGAAAATGCCAGTTGATGATGTGTCTACAAAGGAAAGGGATTTTGCTATGTCAGCAGCGTAATTCATAGATTCACTACTGAATGAAAGTTCATACATAAGCGGTATTAAACCATTTATGTAAAATGTAGAGAAGAACAGGCCAAATGGAAAAGAGGATGATTTGGTTTTACTTTTCCAAGTATTTTAGAAGCACTGATTTACATGGAGTAAAGGAGTATTTCTCAAATTCTCGGTATTCTGCAGACAGTTTCACAGTTAAGTGTGTTTGGGAAACTCTGAATGCAGCGTCTCCTTCCTGGAGAATCATGTTGCATAATAAAGGCTCTGAGAAGTCCCGTAAGAAATACACTTGTTTTTGTATCACCCAGTGTTCCTCAGAATCTTTGTGAAATAATTTTTTCATAGAATGGTATATTTTTACTGCAGTGTGACAAATAACCTTAAAACTTAGTGGATTGAAACAGTAAACATTTAGTATCTCATGCAGTTTCTGTGTATCAGGAATCTAGGAAAGGCTTAGCTTGGTTCTGGCTCAGGGTTTCTCATGAGGCTGTAGTCATCTGACGGCTTGATTGAAACACAAGCCTAGCTTCCAAGGTGGCTCACTCACATGCCTGGCAAATTAGTGTTGTTGTTGGCAGGGGGTCTTTGTTCCTTGCCATAAGGACTTTTCCTTAGTGCTGCTTGAGAACTTCCTGACATGGCAGCCGACTTCCACCAGAGAAGATAGTCCCAGAGAAGGCCAGCGGGAGCTGTGTTTTCTCTTATCACTCAGACTTGGGAGTCAACGGCCATCATTTCTGGAATATCGTATTTTTTATACAGGTCAGTCCTGTATAAAAGGACTGGAGGGCTGCACAAGGGCAGTAGGAGCTGAGGGTCACTGGGGGCCACCTTGGAAGCTGGCTTCCATACTAGTATGTACCATTTAGAACACATGCTGTCGGGGGGACACGTTGTAATAGGGTGTCAACTTATTTTGATCTGTTAATTACAGCAGACTTGAATGAGGTCACTATAAGCTATCACACTTACTGCTTATAGAAAACACCATTTTTTATTACTTATTTTCAACTATAATACAAGAACTCTTTTTGATTCTTTGAGCGTTACACACTGTAACACTGGAGGTCTGTCTCTGGCTGTTCCTGTTGCGCAGAGAAAAAATTAGAACGTACTTTTTTTTCTTTTTAATAAAATTATTTTTATTTTTGGCTGTGTTGGGTCTTCATTGCTGCACGCGGGCTTTCTCTAGTTGCGGCGAGCGCGGGCTACCCTTCGTTGCGGTGCACAGGCGTCTCATTGTGGTGGCTTCTCTTTGCTGCAGAGCACAGGCTCTAGGCGCGCGGGCTTCAGTAGTTGTGGCATGCGAGCTCAGTAGTTGTGGCTCATGGGCTTAGTTGCTCCGCAGTATGTGGGATCTTCCCAGACCAGGGCTCCAACCCGTGTCCCGTGCACTGGCAGGCAGATTCTTAACCACTGCACCACCAGGAAAGCCCCCCAAAATTAGAACATACTTTATCCTCTTCTGTCATCTCCATGTGTATTGTGTGTTTCCTTCTACCTCTGTACATGTTATGAGGGTTCTGTGGCAGAGGAGGGTCGAGGACTTTGTCAGCATCAAGCAGCCACGGCAGGATTGGGTTTGCAATCCAAGTCCTTAATCTCCTACCAAGTCACATCCTTTTCTGTGTAACACAGTGGATGTCTTGTTTTGTTCTGTTTTTGCTTTTGGGTTTGTTTGGGGTTTTTTAAGTCTCAATTATCTTTCCTTTTTCTTTTTTTTTTAATAGGGAACCCCTTTGAAGAAAGATGGTGAAGAGTGTACCAACGAAGGCAAAGGAATAGCTGCACGGATTCTCGGACCGTCCAAACCAGTATGTTTAGAAAATAAATGATGGAACAAGTCTTAACTCTTACATTTAGTTTTCTGTCTATTCAAGGCATAAGTTTCATTTTTGTGTTGTGAAGCTTAAAGTATACTAGAAACTCTAGGAAAGGGAATGGCCTAGGGCAATATAGTATACTTGGTTAACAGTGTTAAGGGCCCTATTGAGGTTTAATATCTTATTTTAAAGGTAGACCAGATGAACTGTTTTTACTTTTTGCTGCAGCCACATTCAGCTGTTTGCTTGGAGATGTGGAGTGCGGAGAGTTCACTTTAACGAAGGTTGTGGTTTGGTGGCTGAATTAGCATGAGTGTTAGTGAAGTAAGAATGGAGCTAGGAGGTGGAGAGTATTTTCAAGGGAGTGAGTAGAATGATTGATTGGAATATGAACTGAACAGGAGAAGAGAAGCCCGTGGGTTGAAGGATTGTTGGAGTTGACGTACTGGAGGCCTCCACACAGCCACTCTGCAGTCCCGCCTGCCCACGTGACAAGAACTCCAGTGGCAGTTGTTTATAGCAAGGTAGTCACAGATCATAGCCCTCGTGCAGGACTAGTACATCATCCAGGGCTGCCGTTACGAGCACTAGAGAGAGTCTGGGTCCCTAACCACCAGTGGATCCCCTCTGCTGCAGGAGCGTGAGTGCCAGCCGCCTCGAGTGGGTGTGCGTGCTCTAGCATCCTTTCTCTCTGTCTCTGTCTTTCTCTCTCTCTCTCTCTCTGTAGTTAAAAGTACAGCATGTGGCCTATCTTTGGATACCTCCGGTTCTCTGGAGATCAACCCTTTGAATGTTCCTTGTTACTTACATAAGTTCTATCAACTCTAAAATGAAAGATTTGTGGATTTCAAAAGGCAAAAAAGACTAAGTTACTGAATTCATAATTCCAGTCTACGTTCTACTAGAGTTGTCAGAACGCCAGATGCTAAAGGAAATAGTGCTTTTTTCTTCCAAAAGGAGAAAAGAGGGTAAGAATGATAAGATGAATTCTCAGGAGGATGTTGGAAGTCCTTGAGTAGCTGTTCCATAGGAGGAGATAGGAATTCTTGGATTAATATAGACTGGGTCAGAAAAGAATCTGCTGTTTAGGATAAGGTTTGGCCCTTCGCTGGAGATGATTTACAACTGAAATTAAAAAATAAACACCTCCACAGCAGTCTTTGGCAGGATCTATCTTTGGAATTTAATAGGAACCACATTTATTAAAGCCATTTTCCTCATTTGTACCATGTATTAGTGCAGTGGCATTTGATATGCTGGGGCATTTTTGGCCTCTTAGGCCTAAATGTTTTGAAAGACAAGTTGTAGTTTGTTTTGCCAGGAGACGGCTTACTTGATTTTCTCCTAACTGCTGTACTTTCCCCCTCATTTAGCCTCCTTCAACATACAATCCACATAAACCCGTTCCTTATCCGATACCTCCATGCCGGCCACATGCAACTATTGCACCAAGTAAGGCGCTCTTTCAGATTTTACTTTTCTTTTTGCTCTTTATTAAGTTGAAAGTAAATGTTGATATATGTACTTTGGAAATCTGGAGCACTTATGAAATATGCTGTCATGAGCTTTATTTTGCCGTGTGTCTTGGTCTGCAACAATGGAGAAGACAGAGTTTATTTAGGATATTTTCCTTTTGATAAATTAATTGTATATTACTTCTCATCATTAATTATTTTTATGGGTTTTTGCTTGTGGGTAAATCATCTTGAATCCCTTTTTGATAGTTGGTATTCAGAGGCATCATTAATGCATTTAACTTAAAAAGGCCGAGTGTGTGTGCTTGACAGAAAAGGCAGATAATTTAAATCTGGCCGGTTCTGCCCACCATGCCCTTCAGTGAGTTATGTCTGGAGTGAGCCTGCAGTGGGAAATAGAAGTCTCTGGTTGTCTCATTTGATCTCACTTTTCACTCAACCATAGACCCAAACCTCTGTGTAAAATGCAACTGTACTATATGACAGTTCTAGAAATAAATTAGATAGCTGCGTCAATACAGTTTGAACTCAGAATGATGCTAAATTTTATATATTTTTTTCTATTATCTTTTTATTTTAGGTGCTTATAACAATGCAGGTCTGGTACCATTAGCCAATGTCATAGCTCCAGGTGTGCCCCCGCCACCTCCATATACTCCTAATCCAGTAGCAGCAGGTAAAATCATGTTGTTACGGGGTATTAAAAGTCAATAACTTGTACATGGTACACTTGGAGGGGGCAGTTGTGGGATGCGGTGGTGTCCTAACAGGGAGCATAGCCCCGGAGCATGATGATGGATCTGAGTGCGACATACAGGTTCCACTAGAGCAGCCTTGGCCCACATGTGTGAACACGAGCAGGTTCATGAGCAGGAAACTGACAGGCTGTGGAAAAGCCTGTCAGTTTCCTGCTCATGAACCATTCTTCATGAGCAGGAAACTGACAGGCTGTGGAAAAGCATCACCGACTTAATGTGTGTCGCCATTTGGGCACATTTTGTCTGCTCTGGGGAGGAAAGGCTTGTAAGAAGGTGCTCAGAAGGGCTGAACCTCCCCAGCATATTCCAGTTCAGCCTTTTTCTTTGGGCCCATTGGGAATACGGGATATGAAGTGTAAATATTTTTCTCTATCTTGTCAAATTGTTTTCCAAAAAGACTGCACCTGTTTATACCTACCAGTGAAGGTATGTGAGCATAGGGTTTCTTCACCCCCTTTCAAAATGGGATATTATCAGTTTGGGGCTTTTTTTTTTTTCTTTTTTACTCTTGCCAATCTGATAAGGCTGATTTAGCTGCTTTCTCCTTTTGTCTGTCTTTCACAAAAGTTTAATTTTTATTTCAATCAGTTATTGCTTATTTGACTCTCCTGAATTTTATGTCTTGTTTAGGGAAACCCTTTCCCATTTCAACACTGTGACATCTACATTCTCTAATTACTATTGTAGTGACTCTTTTTAAATGTAGAGCTTTTCGTTTACTTGCCATTTATTTCTGTATATGTGTAGGGTAGGGATAGAACTTAAAGTAAGTTCTGTCTTAATTTAATTCTGCCCTTCCCAGAGACTCAAAGTTACTTTCTAGTGTTTAATAAATTCTTTTTTTCTAGCCAGAGTGGCTCCGTTGTTTGCAGCTGAGTACTCTGACTAAAGTTGCAAAACATTTTTTCCAAAATTTGTTATTTTATTTCTTGCCCTTGTTTATGGTACCACTTGCCCTTAGAGTTTTACATTTTTGCATAGACAGATAGAGGCTGTGAAAGAAAAGCTGGAACCAAGTTACCTTAGTTTAGAAATTCTTAACCCTAGGTAGTCCAGGTAATTTAGGCCTTGTAAGATTCCTACTCCCTCTGGAATTTATTTTCACATAGGGGTGAAATAGAGGTTCATCTTAATTTTTTTTGCAGATGGTAGTCAGTCCATTCATGCCAGCAGTCTTTATTAACTAATCTGTTTTCCCTGGTGATTTGAAATAATACATTTATCTTAAGTTTTCATTTACACACATGGCTCTGTTCTGGGTTGTTTTTTTTTTTTTCTTGCGGTACACGGGCCTCTCACTGCTGTGGCCTCTCCCGTTGCGGAGCACAGGCTCCGGATGCGCAAACTCAGCGGCCATGACTCACGGGCCCAGCTGCTTCGTGGCATGTGGGATCCTCCCGGACCGGGACACGAACCCGTGTCCCCTGCATCAGCAGGCGGACTCTCAACCGCTGCACCACCAGGGAAGCCCTATTTGGGTTCTTTATTCTGTTCCAATCTAGTGACTTTATGTTGTGATGATACCATATTGATTTGATTAGCAGATTTATAGTATATTCTAACATCTTATAAGGCTAGCTTTCTCTCACTATATTTTCATACTTTTTTATCCATTTTTGGAAATTGATTCTTCCATCTGAACTTTAAGGTCATTTTATGCAGTTAAAAAGAGTTGAGGGCTTCCCTGGTGGCGCAGTGGTTGGGAGTCCGCCTGCCGATGCAGGGGACGTGGGTTCGTGCCCCAGTCCGGGAAGATCCCACATGCCGCAGAGCGGCTGGGCTCCTGAGCCATGGCCGCTGAGCCTGTGCTCCACAACGGGAGAGGCCACAACAGTGAGAGGCCCGCGTACCGCAAAAAAAAAAAAAAAAAAAAAGAGTTGAATTTATAGTTACATAGTAATCTGGGGATACTTGACATTTTTACGATATTAAGTTTTACCATTCAATCATATGTATGTCTTTAAATCCTGTCAAATGGTAGTGTTTTTCCCCCAGGCCTTGTAAGAAGTTTTTTTTGTTTTTGCTTTTTAATTGAGTTATAGTTGATTTACAATGTTGTGTTAATTTCTGCTTCTTTCAAGAAGATTTTGTTTCCTTCATACAGGTTCTTTGCCTTAGGTTTGTGTCTCGGGATTTCAGAGGGTTTGTTTTGTTTGTTTTTGTTACAGTTATAAATGGATATTTCATTTCTAGGTACTTACTACTGATTCCCTATTATAGTTTTTTTTTTTCTTGAAAGTCTCTTGAATTTTCTGGATATAAAATGTCAGCTGACTTACACTTTACTATAACTTTTTTCCCTCTGGCTTTATTGGGTATTGACCCTTATTGGGTCCTCCTTTTCGTTTTCATTTTTCAAAAGTGTTTTGCCTGTATATTTTCACATTTCTTTTTTTTAGGGTTTTGTTCATTTGGCTTTGTTTGTTTAGTTGTTTTGTAAATTATATATAGCTGGAATCTGAGTTTTTAAACCAGTGGGGAAGAGACTTAATAGAAATTTCTGATAATCATAAAAATTGCATATTTGTTCTTAGTCCTTCCATTTTATTTTTGTACTCATTATTATTTTTTTATCCTAGTTTTTAATTTTCTTTATTTTTGTTTACTTGGATTAAATTGCTTTTTAATTTTTTAACAACTTTTGTTTCCTTGACCCTACCCAAGCTTAGAATTTCTGTCTTTAATATCACTAGTGACTGCCTTCATATTCTTAATGGTTGTCAGTGTACAGAAATTAAAAACAGCTGTCCTACGTTCCACCATTGACTTTCTTACTCCCTCTCCTTTTTCATCAATTTGTGTATTCTGATGGACTACTATACATTTTTCTTTCTGTGCCTCTGAACTCATGGCTTCTTAACTGTTTCTTCTGTGATGCCCTGTCCTCATATACTCATTCTGATTTTCATCTAGTAGAAAATTTCTCTAAGTAGCTTTTTCAAAAAGGGTGCATGTGTAGGGTTGTAGATGAGAAACTCAATTCCCGTTTTCTTTTCTTATTAGAACTGTAGTCTCTTTCTATAAGCTTACAAAGAAAATATTCCTTATCTTCAGAGTTCATAAATGTCTTTAATCTTGGAGTTCAGATATTTTGCCAGGATATCTAGGTGTGGATCTTATCGTTGATCTTTCCTGGAACTCTTTAAGCCCTGTGGATATGAAAACTCAAGTCTTTAAAGCTTAGGAAAATTTTGTTCGTATATTTCTTTAATTAATGCTTTTTCATCTGCTCTTTTTTTTCTCCTAATACTCTTCTTTTGCACTGCATTTATTTTAAGTCTCTCAGCTATTCATTTATGATACCCTTTTTTTTGTATTTTTGCAATTTTAAATGGAATTTTTGTTTATTTTCAACTAAGTAATTTAGCTTTCAGCAATGTTATTTCTAATCTTCATCATTCTTTGCATTTATTAATTTGGAGTTAGATTTTTATATCTAAAGTCTTCATCTTCTCTGCTTGCAGTATTTTGTGTATATATGTTCTTAATCTGCATTACAGGATTTTAAAGTTCTTTTTCTTTCTTTCATGGACTCTCCATTGATAGACACCATCTGTTCAGTCGTTTATTTATACTAAGTCCCTTAAACAAGCTGTGATCATTTTTGCTCACCATGTCAGGGCTTGGGGGTTCCTTTTGCACCTTATGCCTGTCACACTGTTGGTTTCTTAGGCAGTTATTGTCAAGCCATGCGAGGTCATTTTTTTCCATTGGCATCTTTGACCTGTTTGGTTAGACAAGTCCTTTCCCACGGGGGTGGGGAGGAGTGTGCTTTAGGTTTTCGGTCTCACAGGATTCAAGCCAGCCTCAACTAGGGTTAGTTCTCCCTGACACCTTCTAGCGTAGGGTCTTTTCCAGAACTGAGTACAGCAGGTAGGCAGAGCCACTTTCCTTCAGTTTGCTTTGTGATCCACATGGCTCGTGATTCGGGCTCCTCGGACGGCAGTAGATTCTGCCCTCAGCATCCACCTTCCACTTGCAGGCCTTCTCCCTGTTGTAGGCACTGGTGCCCAGCAGTGACTGTCGGCCTAGCCAGTGACAGTGGTTCCTCACTGCCCTCTTGCTGCACTTTCTCCTAGATGGCACACTCAGGCCATCATCTTTCCCCAAAGTTTTCTTAAATATATCTATAAAGTAACAGTGTTTGCTTAAAGCCTGCTAAGTTAAGGAGAAATGGTGGGAATCAGTTGCTCATCATCCTAGCAATCTTCATGTAGTTACTATGATTTTTGTTTATTTTCTTTCTTTTTCTGTAGGCATATGTTGTTTTCCTAACACGGTATACATACATATCCTGGATTTTTCTTTTTTTGACCCCAGTCTCTGGTTATTATGATGGTGAATAATTTGTTTAAAGCTTGAAATCAACTTTTATTTATTTATTTATTTTCACATAGAGAATGAAGACCTTTCCAATCAGTCAAAACCTACACAGAATCCAGGTAAGTACCAAATTTGATCCAGAGATAACTGATATCTGTCCTGGCTGCCTGCTCTGTTATTCACTGAGATCAGTTTGAGTTGAGTGTATTTGTAATCTTTATGCTTTAGGGAAAGTTCCTGGTTAAAAAATTTAACTAATTGATACTTGCTGAAAGTGGCTTAATAGCAGTACATTTTATACATACAACATGAAATGCACATACTAACTGGATTTAAAAATAACCATATGCCTTTGTATCCTGTTTGTAAAACTTTCAAACAATCAAAGTGCTAGGTGGCATTATATCTGCATTCACTTTATATTATGTGATATTTGAAGCCTCATTTTTTAAAATATTTAATTTCTTTTTGATAAAAACCCTTTTTGACAAATGTTATGTCAGATATACCTTTTAGACTTGATTATTTCAATAAGTATTTGGGGTAGTGTAATTTAATATAAGAAAAGAAGAAAGAATTTAAGAAAAGAAGACAGGGCACCAGAGCAGAAAGTGGAATTGGAAGAGGAAGGTGAGACGTGGCCCCTGGTGCCTGCAGGTGGCAGCAGCACTGTATCAGTTTATTCTCCCCCTAGTAGAAGATATGTGTGGTCAGGAAAGAGGTGCTTTCTGCTGTGAGACAAAACCTGGACCAGTTCTTGTGTAGCAAAGTAGCACATGAATCTAATCGTTGTGGTGCATGGTTAGGAGTCTCGGTGGGAGAATTCCATTCCCTAAGAATGTGCCGAAACAGTGCTTTTTTGTTTTGTTTTGTTTTGTTTTTTTGCGGTACGCGGGCCTCTCACTGCTGTGGCCTCTCCCATCGCGGAGCACAGGCTCCAGACGCGCAGGCCCAGCGGCCATGGCTCACGGGCCCAGCCGCTCCACGGCACGTGGGATCCTCCCAGACCGGGGCACGAACCCGTGTCCCCTGCGTCGGCAGGCAGACTCTCAACCACTGCGCCACCAGGGAAGCCCCGAAACAGTGCTTTTTAGCTGGTAGATTCTAAGGAGGTAGCATAGCAGGGTGGCAAGGACACTGAGATGTCAGGACATACAGTTTTTGATCCTGGCTCTGGCACCACCCAGCTTTGTAACCTTGAGCAGCTTATGTATCTTCTATGAAAAAGAGATTAAGGAAACTTCAGCCTTTATGCTCAGCTTCATTAAAAGATTTGTTTCTGGGCTTCCCTGGTGGCGCAGTGGTTGAGAGTCCGCCTGCCGATGCAGGGGACGTGGGTTTGTGTCCCGGTCTGGGAAGAGCCCACATGCCGCGGAGCGGCTGGGCCCGTGAGCCATGGCTGCTGAGCCTGCGCGTCTGGAGCCTGTGCCCCGCAACAGGAGAGGCCACAACAATGAGAGGCCCGCGTACCGGGGGGAGAAAAAAAAAAAAAAGATTTGTTTCTGAGGAGAAGCAGCAGATTAAGTGTCATAAGTTATTCCTTTGTTAGGAATAGCACACTTTGTTTTCCTTTGCTGTTACGTTAGCATGATTAAGATTTCTTTTTTCCTTTCTGAACCATATTAAGAAACAAAAATAAATACAAACTAGTATAATGCTTAAGTGTGAGGGTCTCATAGACCTGGGTTCAAATCTTGGTTCTACCACTTCATAGCTGCATGACCTTTTTATCATCATCATCATCATCATTATTACTGTGATAAGGTCTCACTTAATGAGATCTACCCTCTTAAATTGTTATGTACATAATACAGTATTGTTAACTGTAGGCACAGTGTTGTATAGCTGATCTCTCGAACTTATTCATCTTGCATAACTGAAACTTCATATCCTTTGAACACCACTTAATAGCTGCGTGATCTTTTAACAGGTTGCTTAATCACATCAAGGCTGAGACTGCCCATCTATAAAATGCGGGTGTTAGTGCCTATCTCGGGGGGCGGGGGTTATGTGAGGACAAATGAAATGACAGGTGTAAAGTACTTAGCACAGGACCTAACACATAGTGTTTTATGGTTAACAACCAAATTAGATGACAGGAAAGTGATATTTCTCCTGGTATGGTTTTCAGGAATTCATTTTTGTTGTGTTCCATTGTAAATGCAGGCACTGTGATTAATAGTACATTGCTTTTGTGTTATTATATGAAAAGATCTCCAACAGAGGCCGCTATAAAGAACACTGTGGGACAGCTTGGTTTTACCTTGCCATCTGTCATTAACTACATGGTCCTCAGCATGAAGTTAAATAAGACAGTGAATTCTCAAATGTTTCCCAACCGAATGTTTCCCAACCAATGTTAACCTAAATAATTTTTTGATACATTATTTACACACACAAAACTGGGCATATATTCCTTGTGCTTCTAATTCTTGTAAAACAAATTGAATACAAACAAAGATACAAGTCCATTTTCATATATACTCTAAATTTAAATTGATAGCTATCTTTCTTGATACTAAATTAACTGCTTACAACATGACTGTGGTATGAACTGCAGATCTTTTGAGTTTGACGTTTATATATTTATATATTACTATTTGTCAATTCTCCTATCATATTTATTTTCTAAAACAGCTGTAAAATTTGTTGAGCCCAAGGCGGCACCCTTTGGCCGTCACTTAGTACAAATGAATTATGTAGAGGCCGGTTTCCTCTGTTCTTTTCCTGTGGTCCCTTCTCCACCCACGATTAACACAGTGCACTGCTTCATTGACCATGTGAGCGTCCTTATGTCCAGAGTCTTTATTTTGCATAGATTTAAAAATTTAAGTCTTAGTCCATGAAAATGTCTTTCAGTTGATTAGCCCTGCAAAAGGAATATTCTCTGTTTACAGCTGAACAGACTCCGATGTGAGTATAGCAGTACAGCATTCCATTTGGCACCAGCAAGATCATCAGAGGCCAATGCTTTCATTAAACTGATTCAGGGAGGAAACCCAGATCATCCCCAAAATGCTTGTATGATTTGTAGAGTTTATCAGAATGAAAGTATTGTAGCAAACTCTAGAAGTCTTGAGAGTAAGTCTTTGGGTGGGTTTGAGGACTGTAGTTGAGGTAATCATGATATATCTAGTGCAGCAAACACTTATTAAACACACAGATGCCATGCACTGGGCTAGGCGTGAAGACTCTAAAGATGGATTAGTCAAGGCCTTTGCTGCTAAAGGAGCTCCTAGGACCAGCCAAGTAAAGTTAGAGGTTAAGATATGTAGAGGAGTCAATATGAGAGAATGCTTGGGGGAAAAACTGGATAGACTGATCATCTGGAATATTAAGTTCAACTCACAGAGTGGCAACCAAGCATACTGGAGAGATGGCCTGAATCCTAGATGGCCTTGTATGCCTCTAAAAGTGATGAAATGGTGTCCTGAAAGCTCTTAAGAGGGGAAATGACTTGTATTATTACTCTAGACAAGTGGTTTGAGAGAATTAAAAGTACACCAATGCTAATCACAATTAAATCTTTGAATTTTTTAAAGAAAAAATGGGAAACTATGAAAGGAAAGTTTATTTGCTCACTTGTCAAGGCTTCCTCACTGTGAACTGGAAGAGGCTGTTTGGAGCGGTCTAGAACTCAGCTGGATCTAACAGGCTCCCTGGTGGAAATTGGGGTGATGGAATCCAGCAATGTAGACATCGCGATAGCCTAGTATACCTGTCATTGATTTTCTCTGACATTTGTTAAATATTACAAAAATTTTCATTCATTTCTTTTGAGTTAAAAGTTGACATTTCAGCCTGATGGTAAAATCTTGCCTCTCTTTCTCCCACCACAGCGTTTTCTGCCCCAGCAAGTCAGCTCTTTTCTCCTCGTGGCTCTAACCCTTCGACACCTGCGGCAACTCCTGTTCCTGCTGCTTCCCCGGTCAAGGCAGTAAATCATCCATCGGCATCGGCCACTGCCGCCCTCCCTGGGATGAACCTGCTGA